CTTTTAAAGATTTATGAAAAATATTCATGTTAGATTATATTAAATAATTCTATTCTCTTGGTTAAAATAAATGACATATCTAATTTACTTAACTTTTTCTAGAACTTTCAGTCTTCTCGATTAAGAATTTGTCCAAAAAAAAAACTACAAATATGTTTGATGTATTCATGTATCCGTGAAAAAAAAATTTGTTGTTCTGTATATCACTCTGTTACTTTATATTTCATTTGAGATTTCTAACAGTAGTTATTTGCTTTTTGAGCATGGCTTACAGAGAAAACCATTTAGAAATATTTCTCTCTACAAGTCATGTTCAAAATACAAATAATTTCTATTTGAGATCTCAAATGAAATATAAAGTAACAGAGAGAGATATACAGAACAATAAATTTTTGTTTCTCTGATACAGAAGTATATAAGATATATTTATAGATTTTTCAGCAAGTTCTTCATCTATCGAGCTGAAGTTTTTAGAATAAGTTCAAAAATCGAACATTTATATGTGTTATAAATAGGAGGCAACAACAGTTATGACGCAAAGATCTTATCGAAAAAATTGAGTATGTCGTTTATTTTGACTAACGTGATATAACTGTAAGTTCAAGTAAAGCTGTCTTTAGAATCCTTCTTTTTTTTTTTACAATTGATTCATAATTTAAAATCGAAACGAATACTTTAAGATTAGACTTATTAGACAAAAAGAATTTTGAGACACAAATCTTTATTCAAGATCTACAAACTAATTGAAGCGTGAAAGTTTAACAGAAAAAAAAGAAGTATTTCTTAGAATTTCTCTATCGATCTTCGAATTGGTATAATTTTAGTTTTTTTTTTTTTATTACATATTACCTTCGTAATGGATCGACAATAAAATGTATAATTATCATAACGACAGTATCGGTAATAACAAGTCGATAAATAGCTTGACCAATTAAAGTTTCCCAACACTAAATTAAGGTAAAGATGTACATTGAAATTTTTCATGAAATTCTATGTATCTACATGTATAAAAGTTGCTTCTCCTTTAATATTTGCACAACCAAGTAATTCTGATTGTCTTCCACATTGATTACTATTACATGTTATTTGTAGAATAATAATAAATACAAAAGTAAAAAGTAAAAGTAATCGCATAATGATAACTCTATGTAGAACAAAAAAAAATATTTTCTGTTTTTGAAATCATCAAAATTCTACCGAATTAAATAATGACGAACAGAAGTTATACGTGTGTATAATTTAAAATCTCTCATATAAGCAAATATTAATTGTGATAATAAATTCATTATAGAAACTACTGCCGAAGGTAAATATTCAATAGCCATATCTGCAAGACGATTTCTTTGACTAACACCATCATCCATTTCTACTTTTGCTCTTTCCTAAAAAACAAAAAATAAATTATAATATTAAAATAAAACATACTTGAAAAGTAAATTGATTAGTAAAATAGACAACAGCAATTGCACCAATAAATATAATTAATGTAACAATCCAAATCATTATACGTTGAAGTTGAAATAAAATTTTATCAATTGCTCGAATAAATTTAAAATTTATTTTATCATTTCGTCCTAATAAAATACTTTTTATTTCATTTTTAAAACGATGTTCATGTCGATGAGCAATTTTTCTTTTAGTTGTACTATAATTCCATCGAGCAAATATATATTGAAAAAGATTATTTTCAAATGATTCATCTTGTACATAACTTTTTTTCATACCATTACCATATCTAAAGGAAAAATTTTATTGTTTGATTTCTATAAAAATTATATAAATATTTACTTTTGTATAATGATAATGCCTGTTATCAAAAGACAAATAAATATTGTCAGAAAAACAGCTAAACCCATATTATACGTTTGAAAATATGAATTATCATTATTGGATTTTGTTAAATTTCTATAATAACCAATAAATAATCGATTAAGAGCAAAAAATCCCTAGAATTAAAATACAAAACTTATTAGTACAGTTTCATAAGGGATCAAAATGTAGAACTCATAAACTCTAACTATTATAAATTTTATAGTATATTGTCAAAGAGATTAAACTAATTTATTAAAAAAAATGTCAAATAAATGAAAATTATAACAATTTTTTTAGTTGATATATACGCTCTGAAGTTTTTATCATTTCGAAAATGTTTGCATTTAACATTACTATTCTACCAAATCATCAGATTCATCTTCAATACATAACTTCTTTTCTACTAATGATAATATATATATTCTAAAAAGTTCCGGAATGATCTAAGCACTATTATTGCTGATGCACCTTTACCCGATGATCGTTGACCTTCTCCGTCCCGGTTGCTAGGACCTAGGGAGAGAGAAGCTACAAAAACCTCAATCTTATTTCCTCCTCACTATGTTTTCTTCGAAAAAAAAAAAAATATATATATATATATGAGTTCCGGAATAAGATATAATGATTAAAGTTCATACATACTGTTCCAGCGATAAGATCACTCAAGAATTTTAACTGATCATTTTCACTTTCACGTGATGAATTAACAAAAACTGCGTCCGTTTGTAATGAGCAACATCTACTAGCAAGAAATGAATCATTCAAACATGTTTCATTTGAATCAATGATTTGATTTGAAAATGGTATATCTAGAATTTTACATTGTGGATCATTTAAAGTGCATTGTTCAGACGATTGATTATTTATTGGAATATTATTTATTTCATAATATTGATCCATAGCATATATAGAAAAATCTACTGAATTTGGATAAATATATGTTGGCATTACAATACATGTAAAACAAATAATAAAAGTAAAAATATTTAAATAAAATAACCAAATAACAAATTGAAAATAAGAACGTATTGTATAACCATGATAATCTATGTATAATGCACAAAATAAAATAAAATCATTATGAACATTTCATTTGATTTTCTTTTTAATCTTACGTTCGATAGAATCAAGTAAAAGTCCAATTGGTGATGGAATTTTAGAAAAGAATTTTGCTAATTTTGTTATCACTGATTCTTTTTTCTATGAATATATTAAATAAATCTTAAGTCAATTTACTTACAGTATATATCATTTTACTTACTCTTTTTATTTGATCTTCTTCTACAGGTGCAGCAATTTTAGCCCTATTAATAAAGTATTCTATATATCAATGGTCTATTAATTAATAATATTTACCAATCTTTTCGTTGTTTGTTTTCAATAATTTTTACTAATGGTGACTCATCTTCAGTTTCATCTTCCTTAGATATTAAAATTTTTTTTTTTTCGAAAATTTTTTTTAGTTTTTCTTATTATCTTTTCATACCTCTAATGATGATGACATAACAATTGTTGTTGTATTATTTATATTTGCTGGCGTTAGTACATCATCAATATTTATTGTTTCAATTTCTTCTAACGAAAAATGTTCATCTGGAATTGTTGTTAAATTATTTGTATTCGCTGGCGATGGTATATTATCAATATTTATTGTTTCAATTTCTTCGGACGATAAACGTGCTCTTGATTGTCGACGATGACGACGATTATGTCTTCTTGTTTCTAATGAATTCGAAGGCATTCTATATTGCACTATTGATATTTGTTATTATTTCGTTAGGTAAAATATCTTAAAAAAAAGATCGTATCTATTAAATATATTTTATCAACAATAAATCTTCTCTGAGTATTGCTTTCCTACTTTTCTCTTTCGTTCTATTGTTACTTAGACAACATGTCTTATCAGTTGTTTTATTAAGTTAGAAGTATAGATTTTATGCAAAAACATAAAACATAGAAATATTCATACTTTTTTTTCTTTACGACAACATGTTATAAAAGAGCTTACATGTTTAATATACGGTTTTTTTTTCTAGATAGATTGTTTTTAAAATTTGTAATGCAATAATTTTTTTTATACAAATATTGATATAAATATGTATGAGTGAATTGTAAACTTTTTTGGTACGATTGAGATTTTAGCTATATTTGACCAATAACTTTTGTTCTGCTCAACCAATTTAGACGATTTTTTTGTATATATTGTTATCCTCTAACTGTCCTACATCTACACTAAATTTCAGCTCTCCAGCTTGTACTGGCGTTGAGTTATAAAGAATATACTACAAAAAAAAAGATTATTTTTTGATAACATGTACAAAGAAAGGGAAATTTTTTGACTATAATAAAACACGAGAAAAAGAATATAAAAAGGTCAATTTGTACAACGTTCGACGCTCTTTCATAATATATAATTTATTTGAATTTTATTCTTTCCTTTTCTTTTGCGTCCAACATCCACATTGTTTTACAGACACTTGTATATTTTTGTGTGGAGTTATACAAATTTAATTCTAGCTCTCTCTATGAAAGAGCTAGCGACTCGCAGACTATATAGGAAGAGAGAGAATTGTTGTAGTAATAAACTGGCGAGAAAAAGTTCTCTCTTATCAGCTTTGTTTCAGACAAAGAATAAAAGAACTTTCGAAAAAAATACTCATATACTCACTTGGTCGAATTAGATTTTCACAATTGTCTGCTTTATAATTTTTCAATAGGTCATTCGATCTCACTCAAATTTTTACAGTAGATGTAAAACAAAAAGTTCTATAAATGGTAAAAATTTCAGCTCTCAATCATGTACTGATCAGGAGAAATTTACATTATACTGAAAAATGTAGAGTGAGATTTTTTCCGCTGATATTTCCAGTTGAATCGATCCGAAAACATTCTTTTCAGTTATAATTTAACTCAGTAAAATTCAATGAGCAAATCTGAGTGCATTGTGAAGTGTTCTGACTACTCATTTTCTATGCAAAACTAAAAAATGATTCAAGCCGTTTTAATGAATACAGTCACTTTTACCATTGAATTAAGCAGAAATAGAAATGAACAGCGCGTATTCCTCTTAATATCCAATAAAGTGTTGGGAAACTTTTGCCACGTAGCACAGGCATAGAATGTAATAAAATGCACTACACAGAAATTATTTAGGTCTACTTCCATTTTTTCGAGCCAATCGTACCAAAAAGTTGCAATTCACTCATATATATATATATATACATATATAAGACTATCTTGCATTGCAATATTCTCAATAAGATTCTATTGAAAATTTGTATTTTAATCTTTTAAACAATTAATTTAAATTGAAAGTATTTTTTTTTAATAATTTTTATTAAAGTAGAAGGTTGTATATTTATTCATTACACTTTTGAAAACAAAATAGAACTATTAAATTTTATATGGAATCACTTGACAATTAGCTGGATATGGTCTTCTGCCGTCTAAAAATTCCCATAAATAATCACCATGTGAAAAAACTGCAATACGTTTTTCAGGTCGTTCTTGGATAAAATGACGGAATTTTTCTACACGTTTTGTTTGATATTCATTTGTTTCTGAACAATGTTTTTGATCATACTGCCACCACCATATATCATCTATTGGAACATTTGACCAATCAAATCTATTAGGAAATTTTGGTTGTATAATATGACGTTTTTGTCCACAACTATAATGTGATGAACAAATTTCAGCAATTTCTGGTAGAACAAGAATTGGTCCAGAATATGATGAAGGTAGAGCTGTTTGACATGTTTGAAGTGCTCGTGTTAATGGACTAACAACAACAAGTTCAATTTGTAATTCTTCTAGTTCTTTTTGTAAAGCTCTTGCTTGTGCAAAACCTTGTTCAGTTAAACCAGCATCACGATAAGCGCTTGATTCATCATAATCTCGATTAGCAATAGATTGACCATGACGAATAAGAAAAAGTGTTTTTGTTGTTGATTGTTGTTCATTATTGATTTTCTTTTTTGCTGGCATTATTAAATCTACAATTGTACATTTTTATATATAGAAATTGTTAAATTAGAAAATAGAGAAAGATCTAAAGTAGAATCTTCAGATAATGAAGAATTTAAATTTTCTAATTGTTTACAAAGATTTGATATAGAATTATTTTCATTTGTTTGTAATGTACGATTTTTAAGTAAACGAATTAACTATAAAAAATAAATAAGAATAAAGATTAAAATAGAACTTTCAAAAACAAAAAAAAATTTCCTATACTTCAATAATTTCAGCTTTTAAATCTGGTGATGATATTGTTCGTTTTTCATTCATCATTGATTGTAAACGACTTAATGCATTAGTTAATGGTGTTGTTCGACTTTTTGTTAATGATAAATTAGCACCAGCACGAAGAAGAACACCAACTATTGCGAATCGACTACTAATACAAGCTAAATGTAATGGAGTATTACCAAGTGAATCTTCAGCATTAACATCAGCACCATGATCAATAAGTGCTTTTACTAATTAAAAGAAAAAAAAATACTAGATCTCACTTATGAATCTTTTTTTTTTGAAAATTTACCTATGCCTGCATTGATTTTTGTAGAAGCAACATGTAATGGAGTACGACCATATTTATCAGCTGTACATGGATCAACACCTGATTGAAGTAGATCAAGTACTAAAATGAAATGAAATAAGATTAAATTATAGAATTATTTAATATTTACCTCGATCATAATCTTGAGCATTGACAGCATCAATTAGACTATGTGTTTCTAAAATAATATTAATTTCAAATGATTGATGTAAGATTTTGAAAGTTTTTTTTTTTTACCTCGATTTCCATTGGAAAGAATAGGTACAGTTGCGCGACGAATCGATACACGTTCTCGTCGAGAATCTCGAGATTTACCCAAACAATGTGAAGAAGACATGAACTTTAATTAATTAAAATGAATTGCTGTCGACTAATATATGATCTGATGATATAAAGTATGATGAAAAAATACGAATCAATGATAAATGCACTGAGTAACACGACATCTACATATATTGAAATGTCAAAAAAAGAAACTTTGATAGAAATGTATTAAATCAGATGGTACATCGACTTATACATTTTATTTTTAGCTAAGATGGATTTCACACGAAGGATGACGCTACATTACAATGACATTATAATAAAACTTTACTTGAGAACAATGTAAACACATACGCAAGATATTGTTAAAACCAACTCTCTGATTCTAGTTGATCAGAAGAATTGAGGATCATAAATAATCCATATCAGTGATGTTTATTATATGCTGGTAAAAATCAGCTTTTCAGAATAAGTTTTACTCTAAATGCATTA